CCCTGTGTATCGATAACCCGATACTCCGGGTATTATTTGTTTGCAAATATACTACGCATCAAATTGGCGTCGTTGCCAGGGAAGTGGCATTTAGTATTAACATTAGTGAAAGTTTTATTCCAAGAGTCTAATCTATTTTATTTTAATTTTAATTTTAATTTTTATTAACAATTTTCTTTTTAGTTTATGGATGGATATGAATTTCAAGAAACCATGCCACCGTTCTACCCTCCTTCTCAGGGTTATGAGATGAGTTGGAATACGAATCAAGAATATAAAGGAATGGGACAACATTTCCCTTTCTCAAATTTTGCCAACTCAAGACAATGAGATTTTCAAGAAAGTTCATATCAAACATTCACATCACAACCTCATTGGTGCTCATTTTGTGGTAGGAATCACTTTGTGGAAAATTGTTACATGCTCAACCCCACCAACCATATTCCTCAACAACATGCTCAAGGAGTTTGTGCCAACATGAGTCAAACCACTTATCAAAGATGCACACCACATACTCCACAACCCTTATGGTGCATGGTATGTGGTGGACCTCATGAGGCGAAAAATTGCTTTATCTTGGATCCCAATTACAAGTATCAAGGGCGAGCTCAAGAGCCTCAATACCAAGAGTTTCAACAAGAATGCCAACCACTTGACCCAACAATTGAGATGAAGTTAAAGCAATTGTGCTCGAAATTTATGGAGCGACAAGCTCAAATTGATCACAAGATAGCTCAAATTGATCGCATGATAGCTCGATGTCAAGATTTGACAATTCAAGAGCCACTTCAAGATTCATCTAATGGAGAGGATCTAGAAGAGTTGTTTTTGCCGAATGAAGGTCATGAAGTTGATGGGAATGAAAAGGAGGATGAGGACCTTAGAGAGGAAGATGAAGAAATAGTCGATAAATGCACTGAGATGGAAACGTTAGGTGAAGAAGATGATCAGGTGAATGGTGGCAAGGAACACATGGAGAGTTTCCCATTAGATGAGGAAGTTTTTAATGGAGTACATGATTTGAATGAGGATGTCTCACCATTGGAGAACACTTCCCTTGGAGAGAACTTTAGAGAAGTTTTGAATTTGGGAGGCATTGGAGTTCTTAAGAATGATGGCACACATTTACCTATCTATATATCCAATGATTCTCAATACTTGCTGGTTCATGTGAATGATCCGAGATCTCATTACTTGTTGAACAAGAGAGTGTTGAAAAAGAAGAAAAAGAGAATGGAGGCATAATTCTTGATTCAGGAGAATGTGGTGCCCTACATGATGATATGATGGGTTCGAACTCAAGAGAATTTATCAATGGCCATCACTTGGAGAAGTATCTTGAATTCAAAGTGGATAGGAAAATAGACATTTTCCTTCTCCAATCCCTTGATGGCTAGTACTTGAGAGGTAATGTCGAGCTATCGACGTTAAACTTAGCGCTTCATGGGAGGCACCCCATATTATCTTTTATTGCTTTCTAGCTTAGTTTTATTGCTTTCTAGTTCCGTATTATTTTAAGTTTTATTGCTTTTTAGTTTGTGTTATTATTTTTTTCTCTCTTTTCTCTTGTTCTCCTTTCTTTTCTTTTGCATCAAGGGACGATGCAAACTTTTAAGTGTGGGGGAGGAGTCATTAATTTGGGGATAATTTTAATTTTTTGATTTTGCTTGGATGACTCATATGCTATTTATGGTGAATAAGTTACCTGTCTTAGCATGCAATTGCAATTACTCTATCTTGTTGGTTTGTGGTGTTATGGTGGTGCTTGCTGCATCTCAATTTGTGATTGATGATTTGAGGTGTAACACATAATTGGTATATTCCCTTGCCAATAGCTTTGTTAACCACTTAATAAATTGGATCAATTTTTTATCTTGTGTGTTATGCATTGCTAGTGAACGCTTATGTGAGATTCCGGTCATGGGTGTTTTGCTAGAACTTGCCTCATTACTCCTTAAGTGATGTCTTAGTTTTAGCCATAGCCTTTAAACTTGTCCCTACATATGTTTTATCCTTTGTGTCCCCATTGTGCCCTTCGTTTGTTTAAATAAGTGCTAAACACTTATCCCCTCATTGTGATTATTTTTCTTTGATTTACCCCCGTTATTATAACCCTAGCCCTTGGCCAAAAATTTCCCTTCCACCCTTTGAGAGAATGAAACTTTTATCTTTATTATTTTTGTAAGAAGAGTTTTATGGAGTTGTGCCAAAAAGCAGTTGATATTACAAATGTTCAAGTGTGGGGGTCATGAATGCTTGAATTAAAATTATCTTACTGAATCCAAAAGAAGTCCAAAGAAAAGAAAAGAAAAGAATGAAAAAAAAAATGAAAGATTGGAAATTTTGAGTTTGGACCCCAACTTTTCAAAGAGTTGCTGAGTTCTTGAAAGAAATTTTGCTCCTTGAAATTGTGATTGCCTCATCTCTTCAAATTTTGAAAAGTTTAGATAAATTGTGACATTCTCTCTTTTTGATTAATTTTTCCATACCACTTCTTTGTTAGCCATCACCCATAACACCAATACAAGCTTAATAAAGTCCTAGTTGATCTTAGCATGCATTCTTAGATTTGATCTAGGGGAGTATGAAGGGCAAGCCTATGGGATCTCATTCGTGAGCCGTGTTTTGTATAATCTCAACTTATTATTTGTGCACATTTGATCCTCACACACTTTAAATTCTTGGTGCTTGGTTATTGGCCTGAGAATGAGTCTTATGTGGCAAGCTAATTTGAGTCTTGAAGCTTGTTGTTTTGCAGTGAGTTGGTTGGTGGTTTGAAAGGTTGTGCAAGAGAGAGTATGAGTAATTTGTATGTTTTGATTTGTGATTTATTCCTTGGTTTTGCTTGAGGACAAGCAAGGCTTAAGTGTGGGGGAGTTGATGTGAGCCTAATTGTGCACATTTTTAGTATTGATTTAATTATAATTGAAAAGGTTTGAGTTCATGATTTTAGTAATTTAATTGCATAATCCTTTGTTTTATCATTTAGTTATGGTTACACTTGTTTTAAATATTTTATGGTTTTTGTTAGTATTTTTGAACCATTGTAGGCTAATTCTATAAGCAGGTAAAATTTTAGAGCGAGTTTAGAGCCAAAATAAACAAAATTGGAGCCCAAAAAACTCGACACGCGTCGAGTCCAGGTCTCGACGCGTCGAGAACATGCAGTCCGCACAGAATTTCTGGCATCACATGTTCGACGCGTCGAAATGAGGTAGAATGCCTTTTGTTTTCATAATCCGTGCGAATTGTGAGTTTTGCAAATTAAAAGCAAAAGGGCGGTGATGAATCAAATGGGCCTACAATAATTTCTAAGTCAAGCAGCGCGGATCTCAAGACGGCAATTTAAATTGGCAAATTATGTCAAGGTGCGCACGTCTCTAAAACGGCGTCGTTTTCAGTGAAAACGATGCTGTTTTAACTAAGAAAAATAATTTGTTCGAAAGGCTGTTAACGGCGTTAACAGCGTATTCGTTATGAAATTATGAATGTACAGTTATGACATTATGAATGTACAGTTATAGAATTATGAATGTACAGTTGTGAAATTATGAACTTATAATTATGAACATAGAGCTTCGAAAATTATGAATGTTCGGTATGGAATTATGAATGTACAGTTATGGAATTATGAATGTACAGTTATGAAATTATGAATGTACAGTTATGAAATTATGAACACAGAACTCTGACATTATGAACTTACAATTATGAACATAGAGCTTCGAAAATTATGAATTTACAGTTATTGAATTATGAATATACAGTTACGAAATTATGAATGTACAGTTATGAAATTATGAACACAGAGCTGTAAATATATGCTCCTATAACGAAGCGGTTTGAAATTTTTATTTTATTATTATTTTTTTAAAATGAGATAACGGTGTCACTGACGGCACCGTTACCGTGCCCATGATGCACGCTGGGCACGAGTTCACAGCATAACGACTCATTTAAATTAATTTAAAATAATTCTAATTTCGGTCCAGATACCATTTCAGTCCAATTTTGCACAGAATTCCTATTTCAATCAGAATTGGTTCTGGGCTTCTAGCTATAAAATTCCACCTTCCTCAACCCTAATATCTATTCAGAGATCTTTGAAGAGCCACAAGTTATCTTGGGATGCAAGAAGAAGATTAGGGAAATTTGGAAGAATTGTCTGGTTCATTCTTGTACTCTTAGATAATTTGTATAACTTTTAGGGGGCGTTTGGTTCAGGTTATATAGCATAACCAAGGAAATGTGACATTCCAAACCTCACATTCCTATGTTTGGTTCACATTATCTCAGGGAATCTAACATTCCCCAGGAATGTCACATTCCCTCCACATAAGATTTTGAAGGGAATGTGATTCCCTTCAATTTCTAAGGTTATGTAAGATAACCTTGGTTATGTTAGTTTATTACACACACACACATATAATTATTTTTGTAATTATATACTTTTTATTTTTATTATGTTAGGTTAGCATATAAAATAATTTTGTTTCTCAAGTTCAATATTTTAGTTAATATTTTAAAATCATGTAATTATATATGATACCGTTATCTTATTTATTTATTTTAATTTTTAAATTTATTAAAATATATCAAAATATGTTAATGATATTATAGTGTGTGAATAAAAGATAACCCTAAACCAAACATGATTATATTACACACCCCAATTTTAACCAAACACAGGAATCTAACATTCCCAGTAATTTAACATTCCCAACAATCTAACATTCCCTAAGGTAATCTGACATTCCGTGAACCAAACGACCCCTTAGGGATATGGTCAAATAGACCCTTGAACAATTGATGAAAATGCAATTAACCCCCTCAACTACAAAAAAGCTTCAATTAGACACTTAAACTTTAAAAAGAAATACAATTAGACATTTTTATAGGTTACCATTAAGTAATGAGTTAAAATTAGCTGACTTGTCATACACATATATTTTAAATGCTGACATGTAATATATTTAAATAATTTTTTTTTTTTGTTTTTGCGGTGAAGATGGGGAAAGCTGCGAGATGGTTGAGGGGTTTGCTGGGGATGAAGAAAGACAATGAGAGTGTGGGGAAGTTTTCTGAGTTTTTCCGATAAGAAAGAGAAGAAAAGATGGAGTCTTGGCAGGACAAGTAAAGATTCAGGAGGTTTGTGGGTGTCGGATTCACCTTGGTTCAGATCATCGAACGATGATGACTCAGAAAAGGAACAACAAAACAGCCACGCTATTGCGGTGGCTGCCGCCACCGCCGCCGCGGCTGATGCTGCTGTGGCGGTGGTCAGGCTTACCAGCCGGGGTAGGGGTGCTCTGTTCGTTACGCAGCGGGAGAAGTGGGCTGCCGTGAAAATTCAATCTGTTTTCAGGGTATTTGGTAAGTTTCGTTCTTGTTCACCGCTCATTAATGTTTCTAAGATATTTGCAGAAGTTGTTCTTAAGATTTTGATTACAGATCCAAGATGTTTAATCTAAATTTGGGTAAAATTTCAGGCCAGAAAAGCGTTGAGAGCTCTGAGAGGACTAGTGAAGTTATAGGCTCATGTTAGGGGATACCTTGTTAGAAAAAGAGCTGCCACTCTTCACAGCATGCAAGCTCTCATCAGAGCTCAGGCCGCCGTCCGATCTCAAAGCACTCCCCATGGCACCTAATAATTTATAAAACTTATTTAATTATTTAAATATATTACATGTTAACCTTTAGAATATATGTGGATGCCAAGTCAACTAATTTTAACTTATTACTTGATGGTAACCTATAAAAATGTCTAATTACATTTCTTTTTAAAGTTTAAGTGCCTAATTGAAACTTTTTGTAGTTGAAGGGGCTAATTGCACTTTCATCAATAGTTCAAGGGTCTATTTGACCCTTATCCCTAACTTTTATTATTGTTGGCTATGTATAATTTAGCAATGCTTGGCTAAATTCCTTAGAAATTCTTGGGTAAAAGTGTTTATAAACCTATGTACCTGAGCTCTCAGATTTTTTAATATATTATTATATGGGTTTAATACTTGTGTTGCAATTGTGACTTTATTGTTTGATGCTTGTAATTACTGGTCATAGTTACTTGTTTCGTTTGCCATATTCATGTCTGGACGGGAGTTAGGCATAAATTAGGGCATACACAATTGCACTTAATTGTTGCACCTTGGGAAATGGTAATTTATTAGGGAGATTTAATTATTGATTATTGCCCGTTCGGGATATGGTAGTAGTTAAGGATTTATGATGTTTGTTCTCGCTTTATTGGGTGGTTACCGCACGAGAGTGGATATTCACCAGTGTTAGAGACTACGGGAGTAGCTCTAACCGCTTTGCATCCTCACACTCGTATGAACCCAGATTTAATATTGCTTTAGGTTAGGCACTAGGGGATTAAACACTTGAATCTCAGGAATCTCAATTTCTCTCTATTATTTCCATTACCCTGAATCTTTACTTAATTTTATTTATTTTATGCAACCATTCCAATTCAATCATAGGATTAGCTTCATAGAATAATTTAGTACCTAGTGCTTAATACACCACTTCCCTGTGGATCGATTACCCGATACTCCGAGTATTATTTGTTTGCAAACATACTACGCATTAGTATGATATATATACAACATATGATAACATATAATTTATTACTCTACTATCAACATATAACACGCATGAAACAACTATTAGTATGAAACACATTGTTCACCAATAATCATTTTTACTTGCATACAAAATATCACATTAAATATCCTTTCTTTTTCCTATATCAATTGGTATAACCATAAAAATATATTTCTCATACAAAAATAGGTTTTGCTCGAGCCAAAATATAATTTATAATATCTAATAGGTATACCATTCCACCACAAAATATTCACAAGTTATAGCTTTATAAAATTCCATAAATTACCACCAAATACCATCAAGTCAATGAGGAGGAAAAAATACTCAGCAAGAGCAATTACTTCGGTCCCAGTGATTAAAAAAATCAACCAGATACCAACCCAGTTGCCTCGAGATCAATTCCAAGTATTTTTTTAATATTAATAGTGATATGAGTGTTTTATAATATCTTTTCGATTCAAATTATTTTACCTAATTAATTATATTTCATATTTTTTAAGTTTTATTTTGATATATTTTAATTTTCATCCTAATTAACAATATTTATGACTCGGCCTCAGCTCTAAGTAGTATTTTTTAAAATATCTCATTAGCTTTTAATATTTCACCTCCGGTGCTGAAGATTTCTGGATCCGTCCTGAGAAATGAGAGCTCTATTTATAGTCGAAAAAAAAAAGTAACTTCCACCCTCCAACAAACTCCTTTAATATTAATTCAAAAAATTAAAATTTAGGATGAATTGTAAGAGTTTATCCAAAATGAACATTGTATCCACTTTGAAGATTCTATTATTATATTTGAATTTAATTTAATTAGTTATAATTATAATTATTTAAATTCAGATATAATAAAATTTAAATAAATAAATAAATATATTGAATTGAGGAAGCTGTGGAGCTGCGCTGAAGAGGAAGCTAAGGTTATCTGATGAGGGAGAGATTATTGAATTGAGTGGAAGAGGAAGAAGCAGTAAAGCAATGAATTAAGGAAGACCAATGAATTAATTTAAGGAATTGAAGACCAAGCCAGATCCACATTTAATTAATTGATTTAATTTGTGATAAATCCGGATGAAATGTACTATACACAAATTAAATTAAATTAAAGCATCATATATATCCTAAAACAACGCAACACCACAACTAACCCTTAGCTTTAACTATAAATACCATTGCCCATATACACACAATAAACACACCAAACAATAAACAATAAACAATATAAACGATAAACAATAAACAATAAACAACAATGGCGGCTGCCCAGAAGTTTGTTGCAGTGTTTCTGGTGTGCATATTTGTTCTCGCCGTCGCGGCTGATGCCGCAAGGGACAAGGAGGCATTTAAGAAGGAGGACAAGACATTTAAGGACGAGGAAAAGATTCTTGAAGATGAGGATAAGGTTCTTACGGACGAGGATAAGGCTCTTAAGGACAAGGTCGCCAAGGAAGATGGCAAGGCTCTTAAGGCCGAGGGCAAGGACGAGGGCTCGGCTCTTAAGGCTGAGGCCAAGGCTCTTAAGGTCAAGGCCAAGGCTCTTGAGAGCGAGGCCAAGGCTCTTAAGGAAGATGGTAAGGACGAGGACAAGGCTCTTAAGGACGAGGACAAGGCTCTTAAGGAGGAGCACAAGGCTCTTAAAGACGAAGCCAAGGCTCTTAAGGATGAGGACAAGGCTCTTAAGGATGGGGCAAAAATGTAGAAGAATAATAAAGCAATCTATTATATTTAAGGTGAAACATCATAGAATTTCTATATTTAAAGTCAAGATCATATTTTAAGATAGTGATGATTTTTCTTGTCACCCCTATATCATGTAAAGATTATATGTCATTTTTTATAGTTGAAAATAAAGCTCATGTTTCATGTTCTTATTGAATATATAATCAAAATTTAAAAAATAGTGAATAATTATTTTATTATTTCATATTAAAAAAATAATATTTTATCGTTTTCGTATAGCACTAATAATTTAAAAAGTTGAACTTCAATGAAATCTAAATTAATAAAAACATAATTGAAGATATCTTTCAATTAATTTTACAATAAGAAAATTAAAATATTATACATGTTTAAAAAATCAAAAAATTATTTATTTAATTAATTATAATATGATTATATTTTTAATTAAATTAATTATAAATGTCTGTGAATAACAATTGTTTGATTTTATTTTCACTACAAAATGTATTAATTAATATTGTTGATCATGGATCTTACAAAATGCAATGAAATCCCCATATTCACTCTTTCTTACAGAAAATTTTGAAGTAATATAATGATAATATATGAATATTAAAACACATAATATGTTCCATATATTAACTAAATGATCAAAGACAAATATTTTTAATATTGACAGATAACACGAGATTGATTATGAAGAAATAAGTAAATAAAATTTAATAAGTAAATGTCAAGCACCTTGTGCTCAGATAGATGTAGTGACCTTGTGCCAATTGAATAAAGATGAGTAAGGGATCCATAGCTGAAGATAGAAAGTTCTTTTCAAATTTCTAACCGTAACTAAATCTTCAATTTTTTATTTTGTAGGAAAGAGATTGAAGCAAAATAGCTATGAAACAATGCCTTTGGTTTACTAGAGGGATCATAGATCAACATACTGTTTTAGCTCGGTGGAAAAAAATACTTTTCCTCACAATCTTAAGAATATTAAAGAATTAATCTAATAAGTAATAATATTTATATTTCACCAATTTAAGATAGAGTCAGCATTCAAAAAAAAATAATAATAATAAGTAAACGAACTTTAATCCACATTAAATTAAAGTAGTATACAACAACACTTTCTGAAAGGCACTGCTGGAAAAATGGTGTTTCCGTCCAATTTTTCAACCATCTAGAAAAGTGGACGGTAAATTAATTTTTTTTCTAAATTATTGAACACCATATTGAATGATCAGAATGCAGACAGTATTTCCGACAACTCTCAAATGGTGGTAGAAAATGTTATGGCCTTTATTTTTTAATTTGTCTTTGACGAGTTTCCAACCATCAAGGTCGAAAGTCTTGACAAAACTGGACTCCAATAATAAATTTTAATATAAAAGGAGCCCTCTAATAAATAAATTTCACCGGATAGCAGGTTACCATCAATTTTAGCAGGTTACGTGCTTACGTAGCAGTTGAGTTGACATTTTTAATATTTTTTAATGAATTTTAATAATAAATAGAAAAAAAAATTGAAATAAAAATAAAATAAAACGACGGGTGGCCAGCCACCCCGCCCCTTTTTTTTTTTTTTTTTTTTTTCAAATGATGAAGAAGATGACATACACTCAAACCCTAATGTTTCAAGTCAGAATGAGAAATTAGACTCCATTTCTGCTCCGAAGCTGGCAGATTCCTCTAAGCCTGGTATTTTCAGTTGCAATTCTTTTTTGTAAAGTGACGTTTATCTTTTATCAAATTGAATGATACATTGAGTAATTTCAGCAGACAATAGAAGGGAGAAGTATTTGAGGCTTCTTACACAAAATTTTATTAAGCTCTTCCTCTGCACTAATGTAAGTTGAGTTATGATTTCAAAAGTTTGGAAGACCTCCATCAATAAATTGAAGTAATGGTCTTAAATTTAAAATTGAGTTTGGAAAATTATTCTGCATCTGTTTTTGACAAGCCACATAATTTGTACATTTAGTTAGATTTGCTTTGTCATTACTCTTGTAATTTTTTTCTTTTTTTTTTGAGAAAATTTCAATTTTGGTCATATGATTATAGAGACTTTGTTAATTTTAGCACATGAATTTCAAAAGTGTCAATTTAGTACCTTGCGTATGTAATTTTTGTCAATTTTGGTCACTCCGGCCTTTTACCAGAATTCAAAAGACGATTTTGCCCCTCAAATTATAAACTAAATGAAGAATTAAGTTTTTCCGGTGAAATTTGACAGACAATTTAACCGGAGTGACCAAAATTGATAAAAATTGCATAGTCAAGGTACTACATTGACACTTTTGAAAATCGGGTGCTGAAATTAACAAAGCCCCTATAGTCATATGACCTCTTTGTAATTTCTTATTTATGTGGTATTGCAGGTTGCTCGGGGGATTGAATTAGAAGTTAAATTCCAGAATTTCAGATTTTAACTTGTTTTACATTTTCAACGGTATATTCATGAAAGAATTATCATCAAGCGTATGAAATTTGTATATGTTTTTCAGCAAATATATATGTTTTAATATATATATATATATATATATATATATTCATTTCACTACAGAATGAATTTTTTTTATTGACTACGTCCAGTTTTCCGACCACCAAAGTGGTCGAAAAATCTGGACATACTCGACTATTCTCCTAGTCATTTTTTTCGACGGCCTTAGAAAAGTGGTCGCTATTTCAGACTATTTCGCTGGTGGTTGAAAATAACGAGGGGAATTTTTTCGGATATCCAAATTGGTCAGAAAAGAGATCGGATCAAGCGTTTTCGACCTAATTAAGGCCATTTCCGACCACTTCTAGGTGGTTGAAAATCTGTAGATTTCCAACCGTGAAGGTAGGTGGAACATGACTCTTTCAAAAATATTAATAATAATAATATTATTATTATTATTAACCAAACATACTTATCGGAACATTATAAAAGTACAAATTATTTGATTTCACAAATAAAATATTTGATATTCTAATAATAGTTTATTTCATTTTTGAATTGTTCTTAGATTTATAGGTGTCACTCTATTTTTAGTTTTTTTTTTTTTTTAAAAAAAAAACATACATTGTTTGTTTCTTATAATCAAAATTTAAAAAGTAGTGAACAATTATTTTATTTTTTCATAATAAAAATAATAGTTTACCATTTTCGTATAGCAGTAATAATTTAAAACGATTAATGTAATTATCTTTATTTTATTTTTAATTAATGGTGGGTCAATTCATGAGCATCCAGGAAACCACATCAGAGTGGGAGAAATAAGAGGGAAAGTTCACAAGGGGAAAATTGTTGTATAATCAAACAGCCGGGCGAAGGAAAATATAGAGAATGGAGAGGGATTTTCTTATTCATCTTCATGAGCCATTCTTATGGCAAGATATATATATATATATATACCACATCAGAGTGGGAGAAATAAGAGGGAAAGTTCACAAGGGGAAAATTGTTGTATAATCAAACAGCCGGGCGAAGGAAAATATAGAGAATGGAGAGGGATTTTCTTATTCATCTTCATGAGCCATTCTTATGGCAAGATATATATATATATATATATATATATATATATATATATATATATATATATATATATATATAAGGTAAGAGTAAATATGTACTAAATTGAAATAAGTATATCAGTTACAAATACAACTGTTACAAAGATGGATAATAATGTCCACAATAATATTTCTTTATAACACTCCCCATTAGACATTATTCGATATGATTCTGCCTTGTAAAAACTTGCTAGGAAAATCATGTGGAAAAACCTAGACAAATAGTATAAGGATTAATATTTGATGCACTGTCGGTGTATAGATGCTATACACCAGCGGTGAATGAGGAGGTGACACATCATTAAAAAATAATATCAATATTAATAAAGTCTTTTTTTGCAAAATATCTAAGACTTGAATAATTTTAGAAAACTCTTTTAGGAATAAGGGTCAAATAGGCCATTGAACTGCACCTAATAATACAATTAGGCCACTGAACCCAAAAAACCAACAATTGAGTCCCTAAACTAACCAATTCCTAACAATTCATCCAATTTGAAGGTTTCTAACAGGTCAACAACCAAATTAATTATTTTTTAAAAAATAAAATTTAAAAATTAATTATTAAAATTAAAAAAAAAAAAAAAAAAAAAAACAGAAACTGCCGGAGACGAAGAGTTTCTTCGTCTCCGGCCATGGGGACGAAGAAGGTTTCTTCATCCCCATGGCTGGAGACGAAGAAACTCTTCGTCTCCGGCCGTGGAGACGAAGAGTTTCTTCGTCTCCGGCAATGGAGACAAAGAGTTCTCCGGCCGTGGAGACGAAGAAACTGGCCGGAGACGAAGAAGTTTCTTCGTCTCCGGCCGTTTCTGTTTTTTTTTTTTTTTTTTTTAAATTACTTAAATAATTAATTTTTAAATTTTATTTTTTAAAAAATAATTAATTTGGGAGGATGACTTGTTAACCTGTTGGAAACCTACAAATTGGAAGATTTGTTTGAAATTGGTTAGTTTAGGGACCCGATTGTTGATTTTTTAAGTTCAGTGGCCTAATTGCATTATCTTGTGCAGTTCGATGGCCTATTTGACCCTTATTCCTATTTTTAATTAACAAAATATATCTACTTTCCTAAACATATTTATTACTTTACTAATTATCTAATTATTAATAATTTTGAATTAATATTAATATCCACCGATTAACCTGTTAATGATCAAAGACAGATATGACATAATCTACTTCTACTATCTACTATACTAATAAGAGTCCAAGAGAGTTAGGCCTATAATGGGTAGAAAAAATGGCGGTCACAGATTTTAATCAAATGAATGGCCCAGATTAATTAAAAGATTGATCAGATTTAAATTTTACACTAAAATTTCTTAAAATACTCACACATCGTTACTAATTCCGTTAAAATTTTAAGAATTGCCGTTAGTTCACCGTTAACTTACTCATTGATTTCAATAAAAAAAAGGTCTTAGGTTCGAACCTCATCCCAATCAAAGTTGGCATAATTAGTACTCTATTTTACTCTTATTAAATTATATATATAAATAATAATTTAGTACTTACAACAAAAAATAATACATATGCATTTCTTTAATTTAGAATTATGTGTCCACAATGCCTTTATTAAAAAAAAAATTATTCATTATCAATCAATTAAATAAGAGAAATAATTTTATTAGTTATAT